TGTTTTTGTTTACCACTTGTTTTCTTTCCTCCCTCCTATTAGTCAACAAAATTTTCTACTCTTTATAGTCCCTTTTTTCCTCTGCTACTTAAAAATATATATTCTCTGGTTTCTAACCTATACTAGATACTTTCACATTTTTAACATGCACACTTGACCACAAATTTTTCTAACAAATTCTGTAGTTGTTTACTATCCTCCTCCCAGACAGATCAGTGACCTCAATGAGTCTTAACTCTTTATACACCCTCCCTCACCTCATTATTGTTGTCTAGAGAACTGCTTCTCAAACGCTCTGTGGCCAAGGACCAGTTGCTTTTCCTTCAATCCACTGTGAACTGATACTTTTGTAAAATACAATAAAAAGGCACAATAATGTCAAACTGCTATAAAAGTTTTGAAACATTTACTCTCACTTTTTATACTTGGCTCACCACAGACTAGTGACAGACAGTTCTTAGACTACCTCTGGTCCACAAACTGTTCTTTGAATAACAATGGTCTAGTTTGTTTTTACCTTAAAACATATAACTTATTACATATTAAGTTTTTGTTTGCATGTTAGTTTGCTGTCAGTAGTTAACTGCATTCACTAACGTTGTAACCACTTTTTTGTATTTTGCTGTAACTTGCTGTTACGTCCTACATCTTCCCTTTGGGATCACTTCTCTACCTCCACTATTCAGTAAAGATAAAGGGTCTGTGGGCAGTAAATTCTCAATCTGTGTGTCTTTAAAATTGTTCCTCTTTCACCCTCGCTCTTGACTGAAGGTTTACTAGAAATAGAATGATACATTTAATAGTTAATAGCACTTGATTATTTCTCCTGGCATCAACTGTTACTGCTGCAAAGTCTGCTGTCAGTCTAATTTGTAGGCAATATTTCCTTTCTCTCTGCTCACTTTTAAGATTTCTCCTTTTATTTTTTTTAAGATTTCTCCTTTTAAAGTTAACCTTAAAGATCTGCAGTTTCTCTAAGATGTCTTTTCTTCAGCCTCCCTCTAACTGGGAGATTCCTACCTTTCTCAGCTTTGTGTTCATTTTGCCCAGAGGAGCACATCTTTCAACGAAGGCTTCTGCTTCTGCCTACTTCTTCAAGTTTTTATTCCATTTCTGTTCCAGATAGGTTTATTTTCTTGCTTTTAGTTTGTTTAAGCAAAGTATGTCTCTTTAAATTTCTCTGATTTCACCAATCACTAGGGTTTTTTTGTTTTGTTTTGGTTCTTTGGGTTTGGGGGGGGTTAAACGAATCATTGCTTTTTGTTTGGTGCAGTGGAGGGTCTCAAAGTGTGCACTTACAAGGACATCTGGACTAGAAAAATTGCTTATGGCTTTCTTTAAAAAGGAAAACTAATGTTTTTTTAAGATTCAAACTATATATCAGATGTTCATCTGAAAGCTGGTACAGGGGCAAGATAAGGCTTGACTTATAAATTTGTAAAATTCACTAACTGAAGGACTATAGAATAAAATATACCACTTATTACAATAAAACATATTCAATAAAGTTTTATTGACCATTTGGTCTTGAATCCCATCTCTGCTACTTAGTAGCTCTGTAATCTTGAGAAAGTTACTTAACTTCTGTGTGCAGGCTTCCTCTTCTGTAAAAAGACAATTGTGAGGTTTAAATGAGGTAAATTATGAAAGGAATTAGAACACTACCTGGCATTATTATTAGCTCACAGAACATTAGCTATCATCATCATCATCATCATCATTATTATTGTCAGGGGGAACATTCTGCACTCATGTTTCCACACAGGCAAAAGATGTTCCACTCCTCGAGCCCCACATCAAGTTCTCTGCTCAGCAGGGAGCCTGCTTCTCCCTTTCCCTCTGCCTGCCACTCCCCCTGCGTGTACTCTATCTCTATCAAATAAATAAATAAAATCTTAAAAAAAAAAAAAAGTCCCACTCCATTTCCCAGGTCCTAAAAAGAACATTTCCAGTTTCTCTGTGTCCTTCCAGGACAGGCAGAAGACTGACTGCTGAGCTTGGGAGAAGAAACAGAGCATGATGGCCTCAGTTCTTTCCAGTTTCCCTCCCAGTCAGGAACAGCCTGCCTAGAGCACACATAAATTCTGCTTTTAGCTTGGAGGATTAGGATTTGTCCCTGTAAAAGGGCAAGATCCTGGTTTTGCTTGTTTTGTTGTTTTGGGGGGAAGGTTCAATTTGGGAGGAAGTATACAAGCTCTTTTAGTTGTAGAATTTAAGCCACAATTGCCAATTAAATTTATTAGTAATAAAGCCAACATTTTGATCTCCATTTATCTATCACCTGTCTTATTTCTAAACTTGTTCCAAACGCACGGGGAGAAGAAAGGGGAATTAGTCATCAGCTATCCAAAACTTCAATTACTAATAGTATCTGACTATGCAATTCTTAGGGAGATTAAATAGAATAACAGATACAAAGCTCTTAAAAGTATTTGATACACAGTAATGTTCAATAAATATTCGCTTTAATATTATTACTATGTACCAGATATTGTGCTAGATGGTGTGCTAGTTACCAGTTGCAAGAGGAACTTAATCCCTCAACAGGGTCAGAATGGTTAACCCTATAAATGGGACACCGTAAAAAAAAAAAAACAGTAGCCATCCCATAATTCTCTCATTAAATCAAACATTTTTACTAAGCAAATACCATGTCTCAAGAACTGTGATAGGTACTGGGAATTCAAAATTATATATACAAATCTGTCCTTAAAAAGCTTACAGATTAGGGCGCCTGGGTGGCTCAGTTGGTTAAGCGACTGCCTTCGGCTCAGGTCATGATCCCAGGGTCCTGGGATCGAGTCCCACATCAGGCTCCCCCTGCTTTGAGGGGAGCCTGCTTCTCCCTCTGCTTCTGCCTGCCACTCCCCCTGCTTGTGCGCTCTCTCTCTCTCTGTCAAATAAATAAATAAAATCTTTAAAAAAAAAAAAAGCTTACAGATTAGAGGATCTATACAACAAAGGAAGAAAGAATTATAAAGTGGTTATCTCTTATGTCAAAGGTATACACATTGTTGATAAACTTTAGGAACTCAGAATATAAGGGCTTTAAAACAAATTAAAAAAAAAAGCTTATCAGAGCTTGAATCAAATTTGATAAAGTCACCTAGAATACCTTCCATTTTGCCAAATCCAATGGGCAATTTTCAGTCTTCATCTTATCTGACCATTCCCGCCCCTTAAAAGCCAAAAACCAAAACAAAACAACTCTTTTTCTTTGGACTCTGAGATCCTATGAGACTCCACATTCTTTTCCTTATACATCCCTCATCACTCCTTCTTCTCAGTCAACTTTTCCAATGCCTCCACCTCTACTTGGCCCTTAAAAGTTGGAGGTCCTCAAGGCTTGGTTATTAAGGCCCCTTTTTCCTCACTGTACAGTCTGTCCCTAGCCTGAACTCATCATTTCAGTGATTATGTGCCATTGGCCCCACATTTATATCTCTAACCGACTTCTCTCCTCTGAACTCCAATCTGCACATGGATATCTTGAAGGCATCTCAAAGTCCATATGATCAAATATCAGCTCTCAGTCTGCCTCCACCAAACCTGGTGTCCCTTAGTTCTCCCAGTGCCTGGAACATTTATCCATCCCATTACACTACCCAAGCCAGAAACCCAAAAGTCATCCTTTACACCTTTTTCCTTATACCCTAAATTTGAAGCATACCAGGTCCTAATGATTTTTACCTCCTAAAACTTTCCTAAATCCACCTTCTCTCTATTCTGCCATAACTTTGTTCCAAAGTATCAGCATCTCTTACCTAATATACTGCATGATCCTCCTTTCTGTCTTTCCATGTATATTCTTACCTCCTCTACAATCAGTATTTACTACACACAGAGTGAAATCATTAAAATACAAATCAAATTATATCTCTGCCATGCTAAAAATCCTTCAACACAATCCACTGCTCTTAGGATAAAATCCTTTAAAAGGTTCTATATGATGTGGTTCCCTGCCTTCCTGTCCAGTCTCATCAGGTATCACTCTTCCTCATCACTCTGACCTTCCTTTAGTCCCTAAAACCCACCACGTGCTCTTCCACTTCATGGCCTTCGAACTTGCCAACCTCCTCTGCTAGAATGTTCTCCCCATTCAGCCCACACTCCCTGCACTTGGTTCACTTCCACTCATCCTCTGGATTATAGGCTTAAAAGTCTAGTTCTCAAATAGAGAGTCCCTAAGAGTGCAGGTAAGGTCTTCACTACATGCTCTTATAGCATTACCACCACTTGTGTTTATATATATTCATCTGTTAGGTTACTTTACCAGTGCTTGTCTCTTCCACACACTCATGCTGGAAAATATCCATCTGTTCACCAATGTACCTTTAGCACTTACAGAGAGGGCCTAATGGCTGACAAACAGCAGGTACTCAATAATTAGCTGCTGAATGAATGGAGCATTTTAGCGATAGCATTTCACACAACCAAGAATTATGAAGCAATGTGATCACTAAGAGCAAGTAATATAGAAAACTCACCTCATTTGGTTTGTGGCTAGTGTTAAGTGGGATAAAGAACATGAATCACCTGGCATAGTAACATAGATAGTAGGTACTTGGTAAATATGAATTCTCTTCCCTTTCCTTTCTCTAATCGCCTGTAGATACAGAGATAGCACTGACTTTTAATATCACTTGACTCACAGTTTCTTAAATTTACTCCAAGTGTAAAAGGTATCTGAAACATTTAATCAAATTGTATTGTACTTAATCAAAATTCACCATTCTGTTTTGACTCTCCAAAGAATTACATAGAATAAGAGCAAAAAGCCAGACTTCCTCTTAAGAAATTAATAATCTGGATTTAGAAAAGATGAATCGGGGTGGCTACAAAACAAGTTTTCACTTTAAAAAGTATTCACCTTAAGCCACACTAAATAAATGTACAATGATACTTAAAACAAGATTCTATTTACACAGAGCTTTTGTACACTATATGGCAAGGCACAGCTGCACTAAACAAAACTCACAGCATTAGAAAAATCCTCTTACCTTATGTTCAAATGGAGCACCATAGTAGCCATCATTCAGCCCAAAAATTATTTCATTTTGGTTGCGGGCATGAATCTAAGAGAGAAGAAAAACACGCTATCAGTTCTTCTCATTCCAATTAAGTTTTGTTATGATTAAGGCACGACAGTTACCACAGGATCTACTTCAATGCTGAGAAACAGGCTGACTAATCTAACAAGCCAGCAGAAAACATATAATTTATCCTAAGACCAGGTAATCAATTCAGTGCTTCCTGCTTTAGTCAAAGGGCTCACAAAATCATCACACAAGAGAACAAGCCTGATCATTCACTTTCATTTTCCACAAACACTTCTTGAGATTGCTATGGAAAGGCTATTTCTGAAATACAAGGGATCCAGAGACATACTATACATTCCCTGATCTCAAAGAAAACACAATCCAATTAGTCTATAAGAGTGCTTTAAAAACTATAAAGTCCCAGAAAAAAACACTAAAGATTAATATTATTTTCCATTTTCAAGAAGACAGTTTAGGGGCACCTGGGTGGCTCAGTCATTAAGCGTCTGCCTTCCGCCTGTGTCTCTCTCTGTCAAATAAATAAATAAAATCTTAAAAAAAAAAGACTGTTTAAAGGTAATAATATCTAATTTGCATCATCACTCTGGACTCTAGTTTCCTCAAGTAAAAATGAATGAATCAGATTATGCTCCATTTTATCATACTTCCGTGCCTACCCCCATCTCCTCTGGCTATATCTAACATATCATTCAAATTTCACTCAAGATTATCAATTAACCTAACTGACATCTGGATTCAATGACAACAGAATACATATCACTTGTACAGGAAACATTCACCAAAAAAGAGATTTTATATTCTAGGCCATAAAATAAACCTCAAAAAAGCTGAAAAGATTGAAATCATACAAACTCTTTTCTCTTAACAGAATTCAAGTAGAAAACAACAAAAGGATATCTGGAAAATCCACAAATGTTTGAAAATTAAACACTACACCTCTAAATAACCAATGGATCAAGAAGAAATAAAAGGGAAATTAGAAAATATTCTGAATTGAATGAAAATGAAAATATAACATCCAAGTTTGTGAGTCATGCGGCGCCTGGGTGGCTCAGTCGTTAAGTGTCTGCGTTCAGCTCAGATCATGATCTCAGGGTCCTGGGATCGAGCCCCGCATCAGGCTCTCTGCTCGGCGGGAAGCCTGCTTCTCCCTCTCCCACTCCCCCTGCTGTGTTCCCTCTCTCACTGTGTCTCTCTCTGTCAAATAAATAAATAAAATATTAAAAAAAAAAAGTTTGTGAGTCACAGTTAAAGCAAGGCTTAGGGGAAAATTTACTAGATGCTTACTCTAGAAAAGAGAAGTCTCAAAACAGTAATGCAAAAATCCTACCTTAAGAAACTAGTAAAGAAGAGCAAAGTAAACCCAAAGCAAGCAAAAGAAAGAAAATTAAAGGATAAAATCAGAAATCAATGAAACTGAAAACAATAACAATAATCAATGAAACCAAACACTAGTTATTTGAAAACCTAAGAAACAGATAAATCTCTAAGCAGAGTGATCAAGAGAAGAGAGGAGACAGAAATTACAGATAGCAAGAATGAAAGAGGAAAGGATCATTATATAGCCTATATACATTACAAGGATATAGTAATATTGTGGAAATCTTTATATTAACAAACTTGAAATCTTAGGTGAAACCGATAAATTCTTTGGAAGACAAACTATCAAAGCATAAGAAGACATAGATATGCTAAAGAGCCCCACATCTAATAAAGTAACAGAAGTCATACTTTTAAACTTTCCCACAGGGAAATCTTAACACCCAGATGAGTTCACTGAAGAATTCTGTCAAATATTTGCTGAATAAGTAATACCAATTTTATACAAATTCCTCCAGAAAACAGAAGAGTAAAGGCATCCCAATCCATTTTACAAGACCAGCATTACTCTCATACTAAACCAGACAAGGACAATGCAAGAAAAGTACAGACCAATATCCCCCAAGGACACAGATAAAAAAAGCCTTAATAAAATATTAACAAATGTAATCCATTATGAAAGGAAATTTCCTTTCCTTTCATAAAGAGTCTACAAAATTTACAGCTAATATTATACTTAATAATGAAAGACTGAATACTTTTACACAACATCAGTAACAAAACAAGGATGCCCACTCTACTCACTTCTATTCAATACCGTACTGAGGTCTTACCAATGAAATGATAAGAAAAGAGAAAAACACATATTCATTAGAAAGGAAGAAATTAGACCATGTGTTCACAGGCATGATTGCCTACATAGCAATCTACAAAAGGAATCTACCAAAAAAAAACTATTAGATCTAATAAATGAGTTTAGCAAGGTCACAGAATACATGCTCAATACAGAAATGTTTCTATATATACTAGCAACAATTGGAAATAGGAATATTTTTTAAATGAATAGCATTTAAACTACCATAAAAAACATGGAATCCACAAGTACAAATCTAACAAAATATGTGCAAGACCTGTATACTTAAAACTACAAAACGATGAGTGAAATCAAAGATTTTCACAAATGGAGAGATATGCCATGTCCACAGATTGAAATACCCAATACTATTAAGATGTCAATTCTCCCCAAATTTTCTCAGATTTTTGTAGAATTGACAAATTAATTCTAAAGTGTATACATAAAGGCAAAAGATCTAAAATAGCCAGAACAATTCTGAAAAAAGATCAAAGTTGGAGGATTCAGATTACCTCAATTCATGATGTATAAAACTACGGCATTCAAGATAACGTGGTATGGGAATAAAGACAGACATGCAGAACAATGAAATAGAATAACGTCCAGAAACAGACCCACACAAATTATTTTAAACCATTGATTTTCAACAAAGATAACAAGGTAATTCAATGGAGAAATAATAGCTCTCACAACAGAGTACAGGAACAAATGTTCATCCATCTGCAAAACAATGAAATTTACACCTTAAATAAAAGTTAATCCAAAATGATCATAGACATAAACATAAAACCTAATACTACAAACCTTCTAGAGGAGAAACCCCACAGGAGAAAATCTCTGTGATCTTGGATTAGGCAAATATGTCTTAGATAAGACACAAAAAGTATGAAACATAAAAGCAAAAACCGATATAGTGGAATTTAACACTTACAAATTTCTGCTGTTTAAATGACACTTAAAGAAATGAAAGGACAAGGGGCGCCTGGGTGGCTCAGTGGGTTAAGCGTCTGCCTTTAGCTCAGGTCATGATCCCAGGGTCCTCGGATTGAGTCCTGCGGTGGAGCCTGCTTCTCCCTCTCCCTTTGCCTGCCACTCTGCCTGTTTGTGCTCTCTCTCTCTCTGTGTGTGTGTCAAATAAATAAATAAAACATTAAAAAAAAAGGGACAAGCCACAGACTGGCAGAAAATATTCAGAAAATACTATCTTATAAAGAACTGACTCATATCCAGAATACAGACAGAAATTTTACAAGTCAATGATGAGAATTCAAACAGCCAAATAAAAATTGGGCAAAATCTCTGAATAAACCTTTCACCCAAAAAGGGGCAAGAGAGAGAATGATGACAAATAAACATTTTTTATTGTTCAACATGACTTCATCACTAGATAAATTCAAATAAAATCACAAGATTCTGTATACCCATAATGAAGCAGCAGAAAGAGAAATTAACAAAACCATCCTGGGGCACTTGGGTGGCTCAGTTGGTTAAGCATCTGCCTTTGGCTCAGGTCATGATCCTGGGGTCCTAGGATCGAGCCCAGCATCAGCAGTCTGCTTGTCCCTTTTCCTCTGCCACTCCCCCCGCTTGTTCTATCAAATAAATAAATAAAATCTTTTTTAAAAAAATAAGTAGAAAAAAGAAAACAATCCCATTCACAATTACACCCAAAATAACAAAATACCTAGGAATAAATCTAACCAAAAAGATGAAAGACCTGTACTCTGAAAACTATAAAACACTGATGATGAAAGAAATTGAAGACAACACAAAGAAATGGAAAGACATTCCAAATTCCATACTCATGGATTGGAAGAACAATATTGTTAAAATTGTCTATACTACTCAAAGCAATCTACATATTTAATGCAATCCCTGTCAAAATACCAATAGCATTTTCCACAGAAATAGAACAAGCAATCCTAAAATTTGTATGGAACCACAAAAGACCCTGAATCTCTAAAGCAATCTTGAAAAAGAAAAGCAAATCTGGAGGCATCACAATACCAGACTTCAAGTTGTATTACAAAGCTGCAATAATCAAAACAGTGTGGTATTGGCACAAAAACACATAGATCAATGGAACAGAATAGAGTATCTAGAAATAAACCCACAATTATATGGTCAATTAATCTTCGACAAAGCAGGAAAGAATATCCAATGGGAAAAAGACAGTCTCTTCAACAAATGGTGCTGGGAAAACTAGACAGCCACGGGCGAAAGAATGAAACTGGACCACTTTCTTACACAATACACAAAAATAAATTCAAAATGGATTAAAGACCTAAATGTGAGGCCTGAAACCATAAAAATCCCAGAAAAGAGCACAGGCAGTAATTTCTCTGACTTTGGCAACACCAACTTTTTTTTAGCTAGGTCCCCTGAGACAAGGGAAACAAAAGCAAAAATAAACTATTGGGACTATATCAAGATAAAAAGCTTCTGCACGCCAAAGAAACAATCAACAAAACTAAAAGGCAACCTACTGAATAAGAGAAGATATTTGCAAATGACACATCAAATAAAGGGTTAGTACCCGAAATATATAAAGAACTCAACACCCAAAAAGCAAATAATCCAATTAAAAAAATGGGCAGAAGACATGAACAGACTTTTCTCCAAAGAAGACATACAGATGGCCAACAGACACATGAAAAAATGCTCATCATCACTTACCATCAGGGAAATGCAAATCAAAACTACAATGAGATATCACAACTGTCAGAATGGATAAAATCAAGAACACAAGAAACAAGAGATGTCGGCAAGGATGTGGAGAGAAAGGCAGCCACTGTGGAAAACAGTATGGAGTTACCTCAAAAAGTTAAAAACAGAACTACCCTATGATCCAGCAATTGCATTATTAAGTATTTATCCAAATAATACAAAAACACTAATTCAAAGGGATACATGCACCCCTATGTTTAGAGTAGCTTTATTTAGAATAGTCAAGATAGGGAAGCAGCCGGTGTCCATCAATTGATGAATGGATAAAGAAGATGTGGTGTATACACACACACACATACACACACACACACACACACAAACTGTGAATATTACTCAACCATAAAAAAGAATGAATTCTTGCCACTTGCAATGATATGGATGGAGGTCGAGAGTATAATGCTAAGTGAAATAAATCAACCAGAAAAACATAAATACCATATGATTTCACTCACATGTAGAATTTAAGAAATGAAACAAATGAGCAAAGGGGGGAAAAAGAGACACAAACCAAGAAACAGACTCTTAGCTAGAGAGAAAAAATTGGTGGTTACCAAAGGGGAGGTAGGTGGGGGACGGATGAAATAGGTGATAGGGATTAAGGAAGGCACTTGTCGTGATCAACACTGGGTAATTAAAATTAAAACTTAAAAAAAAAAATCACAACAAGATACCATTTAAAATCCATCATAATGGGGCACCTGGGTGGCTCAGTTGGTTAAGCGACTGCCTTCGGCTCAGGTCATGATCCTGGAGTCCCGGGATCGAGTCCCGCATTGGGCTCCCTTCTCAGCAGGGAGTCTGCTTCTCCCTCTGACCCTCTTCCCTCTCGTGCTCTCTATCTCTCATTCTCTATCTCTCAAATAAATAAATAAAATCTTTAAAAAAAAAAAATCCATCATAATGGCTAAAACCCACTACAATGGAAAACAACTTGGCAGCTTCTTATAAATTTCAACATACACTTACCACTAGACCCAGAAATTCCATTCCTATGTATTTACTCAAGAGAAATGACAACATATGTCAACATAAAGACCTACATTTAAATATTTACAGCAGCATTATTCATTGTGGTGGTTACTAGACTATACATTTGTCAAACCCACTGAACTGCATACCTTACAAGGGTGAATTTCATTGTATATACATTATACCCCAACAAACCTGACCTGTAAAAAAAAGTTTCATTCAAAAGTCAGCCCTCCTTGACTCTATCCCAACTTGTCTAAATACCTCTTCCATATACTCCTCCAAATTATATTACAAAGCTATAACAATCAAAACAGTATGGTACCATGCAGGTATTCACCAATTATCAGTTTACCAAGTCTAAGGATCTTGTCTTATCCATCTCTGGAACCTTAACAGTAAGAGTAATATCTGGTAGAAAGCAGATGATCAGTCAATGAACCTAAGTAATTCTGGCTATTCTCCTGATAGATCTTAGTCTTGCTTTCCTCTGAAAATTTGTAATTTTATTTTATCTAATTTCCTAGTAGTATGTTACTTGTTATATCTATTTTGTAGGAGAGTTTTGACTTTCTACAATGGTAAGTTTTTAATTGGCTTAAAAAACATGTTTTCTCTTGCTCTTGTTCTCCGTTATACCCACATAACCAGCTTTGTAAGAAGACACCCAAAAGCTGACTCTCTGAAATTAGAGCAGGTTCGACATAAACACAGTTGGGTATTTCAAGAAGATCACTACCTAAGGAATATGTGAGTTGAAAAGCATGAAGTCCATCTTCTTTGGCCAAAAACTCCCCTACCAAACTATAGTCATACAACTCTAATGTTAAGAAGCATCATCCTCCATGAAATGTAAGTACTTTCAGAAGATAAGTGCTCAATACCACAGTCTATCCACAGAGAGCCAACTATGGTATGTGGGAAGACAGAAAAAGTATGCACCTCAGTGCAGGGCTCTGGCTGGCCAGCCAAAAGGCAACAAGTATCTCGTACTGAAAGAGAGGAGAAAGGCCCTAAGCCAAAAGTCATTATTTTATAAATTTTCGCTGAGATCAGTCGTAAAACAGAAGGAAAAATATAAAAACAAAAAAAGCTTAAGAATCTACAGCAGTTAGAATTCAGTTATGGAAAATATCTATTACATGCATTGTTCTGATCTACTATAGGAAGACAAAAATAAAGTATATGGTAAGTAAAATGAGGGCAGAGGGGTTTTTTTAATCTGAAAAAAAAAATATGTAGAATTAAATTGTTTCTTTAAAAGAAATAAAGCAGGGGCACCTGGGTGGCTCAGTTGGTTAAGCAACCGACTTTTGATTTCAGCTCAGGTCATTTTCTCATGGTCCTTAGATGGAGCCCTATGTCAGGCTCTGCACTGGGTATGGAGCCTGCTTAAGATTCTCTCTCTTTCTCTTTCTCTCTCTCCCTCTCCCCCTCTACCCCCTCAACCCCCTACCCCCGTTCACGTGCACGCTCTCTAAATAAATAAATAAATAAATAAATAAATAAATAAATAAATAAAAGAAATATACCAGAAAGTCTATTCAAGGATATTCATAGATATGACTAACATTTTGGAGTTACCTTTAACAGTATCCCACAGGTATCACAAAAAGACACAGCATTTATTCCAAGGTAGGTTACCAAGGACTACATGTATGTATCAGTGTGGTACAGCACAAAGAATGAATCTATAAGTCAGCCAGGCCTAGATTTAAATATTAGCTCTACCTAGCAGTGTGATCTTGAGTAATTAAACTCTCTGTGGTTCAATTTTCTCATCTGGAAAATAAGGACACTAATACCAACCTTCACAAGCCTGCTATAAATATTAAGTATAATAACCTATGTCTGGGGATGGTAAACAGGTTTCATATCATCAGCAATTCTGATATATTGCTAGTTGCATCCCAGAACACTGTGTCCAAAGGGATTATGGAGCTACTTCTCAGCTTACCTAGAAGAGTGCTACAATCCAATAGCTACCTCACTCATAGGGACTTGTTAGTAGCATCCAAGTCAGGCACTTGTCAGCCCTGTGGCTCAATAAACAGTAGTAGCTCTCCAAAAAAAAAAAATAATAAAAATAATAAATAAATAAATAAACAGTAGTTCTCTTTCTTCCCAAAATAATGCAACTCTACTGGTCATAAGAGAAGTTTTTAATAGTATGTTCCATATTTGCAACCTAATTTTTAGAACCAATAAAACAGAAGATCGCTTCTTGGTCTCTTGGCTAAGATCAAGTGCAATAAAACAGAAGAAGCAGAATGCTATGGGAAAGCACATTCTTTCTTACAAAAAAAAAAAAATTCCTCTTAAATTAACAGCTTAGGGTGCTTCTTTTTAAGTTTCTTCAGTTAAAAATTATTTTTAACTTGGCAATGACTCAAAATTTCTATAATTAAGTAAACAATCATAAAGGTTCTCTATAATAGGAAATGTAGAATCTAAAGAATATACAAAAAGGTTAGGTAGGTTTAGAGAAGACAAATACTCAAAACTACAGTCTAAAAGTTACCTGCTGACCCAAGTATTTCAGCCCATCCAAACAGACTTTCCATTCAATCAAAAGCTGGTAGATGTTCTCCTTTCCACCCCATATCTTCACCACAAAACAAGACACAGATGTATCAAGACGGTCTGGCATTATTCCAAAATCAAGACTCCGCCACGTTGGATTCTGTTGATGGAAAGGAAAGCATGAAGACTCTAATTTGTTTACAATTATTTCAATTAGATTATAAATCATTTTGTTTTTGAAAACCAAAAGACCTCAAAAATATATCAAACTGCAGACTTAAATAAACCAGGAAGACATCTAATTAACACAATGGGGATGATAATGGTATAAGCATACCTCAAAGATAATTGCAGTTTGGTCCCAGACCACCACAATAAAGCAAGTACCAAACTAAAGCAAGTCAAATGAATCTTTTGGTTTCTCAGTGCATTTATGTTTACACTATACCACAGTCTATTAAGTGTACAACAGCATGTCTAAAAAAAAAAAATGTACATACCTTAATTAAAAAGTACTTTATTGCTTAAAAATGTAACCATCATCTGAGCTTTCAGCGAGTCACCATCTTTGTGCTGGTGGAGGGTCTTGCCTCAGTGTTGATGGCTGCTGACTCATCAGGGTGGTGGTTGCTGAAGGCTAGAGCGGATGTGGCAATTTCTTAAAATAAGACAACAATGGAGTTTCCTGCATTGATTGATTGACTCTTCCTTTCACGAATGATTTCTCTGTAGCATGTGATGCTGTTTGATAGCATTTTACCCACAGCAAAACCTCTTTCAAAATTACAATCAATCCTCTCAAACCTACCACTGCTTTATCAACCAAGTTTATGTAATTTCTAAATCCTTTGTTGTCATTTCAACCACCTTCACAAAATCTTCAACAGGAGTAGATTCCTTCTCAAGAAACCACTTTCATTGCTCTTCCACGAGAAGTAACTGCTCATCTGTTCAAGTTTTATCATGAGATTGCGGCAATTCAGTCACATGTTCAGACTCCACCTCTCATTCAAGTTCTCTTGCTATTTTCACATCTGCAGTTACTCCCTCCACTCTTGAACCCCTCACAGTCATTTATTAGGGTTGGAATCACCTTCTTCCAAACTCCTTTTATACTGATATTTTGACCTCTTCCCATGAATCACAAATGTTCTTAATGGCATCTAGAATGGTGAATCCTTCCTGGAAGGTTTTCAATTGACTTTGCCCAGGTTCAGTAGAGGAATCACTACCTACAGCAGCTATAGCCTTACAAAATGTATTTCTTAAATAGTAAGACTAAAAAGTTGAAATGACTCCTTGATCCATATGGGCTACAAAATGGATGTTGTGTCAGCAAGCACAAAAACAATGTTAATTTCACTGTACATCTCTATCAGAACTCTTGGGTGACCAGGTGCATTGTCAATGAGGAGTAACATCTTGAAAGGAACTTTTTCTGAGCAGATCTCAACAGTGGGCTTAAAATATTCATGAAATCATGTTGTAAACAGATGTGCTGCCATTCAGGCTTTCTTGCTCCATTTATAGAGCACAGGCAGAGTAGATTTAGCACAACTTTTAAGGGCCCTAAGATTTTCAAAATGGTAAATGACATTGGCTTCAACGTAATCACCAGCAGCATAGCCTCTAACAAGAGAGTCAGCCTGTCCTTTTGAAGCTTTGAAGCCAGGCATTGACTTCTCTAGCTGTGAAAGTCCTAGAAGGCACCTTTTTCCAATAAGAAGGCTGTTTCATGTACGTCGAAAATCTGTTGTTTAGTGTAGCCACCTTAATTATCTTCACCAGGTCTTCTGGATAACTTGCTGCAGATTCTATATCAGCACTTGCTGTTTCACCTTGCACTTAAACCTCAAAAACATGGCTTCTTTCCTTAAACCTCATGAACCAACCTCCGCTAGCTTCAACTTTTCTTCTGCAGCTTCCTCACGCCTCCCAGTCTTCATGTAGTCAAAGAGAGTTAGGGTCTTGCTCTGGATCAGGCTTTGGTTTAAGGGAATGTTGTAGCTGGTTTGATCTTTTATCCAAACCTCTCAAACTTCCTCCACATCAGCAATAAGACTGTTTTGCTTTCTTATCATTGTGTGTTCACTTATCATTGTGTGTTTAATATGCTTCAAGCACTTTTCCTTTACATTCACAACTTGGCTAACTGTTTGGTGCAAGAGGCCTAGCTTTCAGTATATCTTAGCTTTCAACATGCTCTCCTCACTAAGCTTATTCATTTCTAGCTTGTGATTTAAAGAGGCATGTGACTCTTTCTTTCACTTGAACTTTTAAGAGGCCATTGTCGGGCTATTAACTGGCCTAATTTCAATATTGTTGTATCTCAAGGGAATAGGGAGCAGCCTGAAGAGAGGGAGAGAGGTGGGGGAATGGCTGGTCTGTGGAACAGTCAGAGCACATACAACATTTATCAATTAGGTTCACTGTATTCATGGGTGCAGTGCCTGGTGCCCCAGAACAATTGTGACAGCAATGTCACAGATCACCATAACAAGTGTAATCACAAGGGGACACCTGGGTGACTCAGTTGGTTAAGCATCTGCCTTCCGCTCAGGTCATAATCCCAGGGTCCTGGGATGGAATCCCCCATTGGGCTCCTTGCTCAGCGGGGAGCTTGCTTCTCCCTCTCCCTCTGCCCCTCCCCTGCTTGTGCTCTCTCTCTCTCTGACAAATAAATAAAATCTTAAAAAAAAAACAAGTATGATCATAATGAAAATTTTGAAATATTGCGAAAATCACTAAAACATGACACAGAGACAGGAAGTGAGCAAATGTATTTGGAAAAATGGCACCAATAGAATTTCTCAAAGTCGGGTTGCCATAAACATTCAATTTGTAAAAACACATTATCTGCAAAGCGCAATAAAGTAAGTGCAGTAAAATGAGGTATACCTGTAAAGAATACACGCGCACCCAATAACCATTTGCTGCGTGAAGAAACCAAGAAGAGGAGGAACATCAGCCCAGAGGCTAGTGCAGTGGTGCCTGCGGGAGACGGTCTGGGAGGAGGAGAACGGAGATGGGACACGTAAAGGGGAGGTGTTTCGGAACTAGATGTGATAGGAGTTGCTGATGGGTAAAGGTGAGGGGCCAGCTAAGGGAGGAATCTAGAACGTCTCCTGGGTCTCTGCCTCAAACAACTAACCGGGCAGATGATGTGCTGTTTTCTGTGCAGGGCAAGCCTGGCAGAGGCGAAGGGGTGTGGTATGGGGGCAGGGGTGGGCAAGAGAACCGGGAGTCCCCACTCCAACGGGCCAGTGGTGAGATGCCTTTGGTACGTGTGAGTGTACAGATTACTTTCATTTATTTCCCCTATATTAAATGTTAGGGCTTTCATTGTAAGTGTAAATATAATCAATCTTATTAAATTAACAATTTTCATGTTATATGAATCAGTAAATCAAAAAGTCCTCATATAAGGGTAATTGTTCTTGGCTCTGTGACATTTATTTTTCTGAGTAAAGCAGGAAGGGGAGTAGGGTAGTGCTTGTTTTTGTTTTAGGGGCTATACTGATACGTGTTTTGTGGGTTTGGTTTTTGAAGCTTCTGGAGCTAAGACATGACTTCCAATTTCATAGTACTTTATGCCCGATATATCTTTTCACTTATATTTTGATATTTTTATTGGGTGACTTCCTTCCACTAAAATAAAAGCTTTGACAGACAGGTACACTGTCTGATTTGTTTACAACATCTTCAAGGCTTGAAAAGTCCATGGTATGCACTCAATACATTTTTGCTGCATGAGTGAATGAATGTCTGATCAATGGATATGGATGTCTGAGGATACTGAAAGACCATCAATAAATAGCACGATGATAACACAGTAAAGCAGCACGTTTATGTAATCAGTTTTATATTGAATCATAAACAAATAAATTCCAGCTACCCAAGAATTTTAACCTAAGATCAACAGAATTCCATTCTTATATGACCCCCAGTATCTATCTCACTACAACTGTTTTAGTAGCCCCGCTAAATAAGGGTAGAATTTCATTTAAATATCTGAGCACAAACTTTGGTCACTAATCTCTGTAGACACCAAAGTGATCACTAGAAATGTGGATGTAACAACAGAAGACAATCAACCAAAGAGAACCACTGGCTTGTGAAGTAATGTACCTTCAGGCTTCAGTCGATCAAACAGAGAGCTGAGAGGCAGTATGGTAGAGAGGCAAGGGCTGAAATCAAACTATACTGTTAAACCACATAATCCCCTCCGTATCTTAAAATACTCACTTATAAAAACCAGAACAACTACCGCTTCACAGGGTTTTTATAAAGCTTTAAAAGAAAAGGGTGCCTGGGTGGCTCAGTTGGTTAAGCAACTGCCTTCAGCTTGGGTCATGATCCTGGAGTCTCGGGATCGAGTCCCGCATCAGGCTCCCTGCTCCGCGGGGAGTATGCTTCTCCCTCTGACCCTACCCCCTCTTGTGCTCTCTCTCTCTCTCAAATAAATAAATAAAATAAAATCTTTAAAAATTAATAAGGCTTAAAAAGAATAATAATTATAGTAATAGCTGTCATTTAACACTTATCAGTGGTAAGTACTATATAAAGTCAGATATATATGAAATGGACACAGAAGAATGCCTATCCTAGCATTACACAGCAGAAGTATCTATCTGTTTAATAAAATAGCCCTGTTCCTCTCAACAATAAGTTCACCTGATGTAAATAAGACAACTTGTTAACTTCAATAGTTAAAAAGACAAAATGTCATTTCATCAAATCTGAGATACCACCAATTATAAGATGCATCATTATTTTATGTGCCATTGAAAAAAGGGTGGCTGAGGGCTCAGTCAGTTAAGCATCCCACTCTTGATTTTGGCTCAGGTCATGATCTCAGGGTCCTGAGATCAAGCCCTGCATCTGGCTCATGCGGGGCATGGAGCCTGCTTAAGATTCTCTCTCTCTCTCTCTTAAAAAAAAGTAGTAGTAATGATTTTAAGATGCATCTAGATTTCAGAGGTGTTAAACTTGGGGAAAATGTGCATCTTAGAATCAATGAAACACAGTAGCTAAGGGTCTTGTCTAAGGTCTCCTAGTAAACACAGCACCAGAATTTCAACCTAGGTCTCTAAAATTCCCCTCACTTTTTTTTGTGTGTGTTTGGTTCTTGGGTTTTTTTCTCCCCAATAAAGCACAGAA